AAAAATTTTAAGTAAATTATTAATAATTTAAGCATTAAAAAAAATAAAAAACACATATAAAACAAAAGAAAAATAGGATGAAGAAGAAGATAAAATACTAGTTAGAAAAGATCTTCCAAACATATTTTTATTAATCCTCTTATATATGTATTAAGGCTTATTATTGAGTTTTTTAGGAGATTTTGTGAGTAATTATTTAATATAAGAAAAACATATAAAAGGTAGATAAATAGCCTCATTAAATTCAATAAATTGGCCTTTTTCATTTAAATTTTTATATGCACCAATAATAGATACATTTTATTTTAATGGATTTGGGCGTAGAAAAACTTATATAATTCCATCTTAATTATTAATAACAATAATATTTTTTATTTCTTCATATTATTTTGAAAATTGGATGGAGGAGATAAATATTTCGAATATAACAATAATAGGTTTTATATGTATTTTTTTAATTACAATACAAGACATATCTTTAGATGGATGGAGTATGACTATTTTACATGAGAAGAATGTTGCTTTTGCAAGCTTTTGTTAAAGTTTTGGGTAAACTATTGGAAATGTTATTGGATATTAAGTTTTTATATATTTAAGTGATAGTAAATTATGCCATAATATTTTTTCTTATGATGGGGCTATTTTAAAACCTAAATAAATGTGCATTTTTATTAGTATTTTTGTTTTTTTTGGGAGTTTATATATTCTATTTTTCAAAAAAGAAGAAAAAATATTTAAAAAAGAAAGTTCCTGTTAATAATTTAAAATAACATTTCAAAATATTAGGCTTTTCTTTTTAAATAAAAATATTTAAATGCTCATTTTTTTCCTACTTAGTGTTTAGTTTGGTAATATTTGTATATATATACCTTCAGGAGTAATTCTGCTTTAAAAAAAGTTCAGTAGATCAGTTTTGGCTACGATAGAATTGTGTATGATTCCTGTAAACTAGATTTTTGCAATATATATAACTAATATTTGTAGATAAAAAAAAGAGTTTTAATTATGGTTTTATGCTTTTTTAGCAAATTGTATTTGTAATATATTTTTTTTTGCTGTAGTATATTTTTACGAAGAAGGATAATAAAATAAATTTATTGTTCCTTTGTCTATTATTTTTATTCTTAATTCTAATATTTCAACTGTATCGTTTGTTTGCTTTTCTGCTTTTTTTCTAAGAATTTGTGATTAATCTATTGGAGGAACTTATATTACGTTTCTTAATTCATTTTCAAATTTCGGATCCTTTTGGGGAGTTATCTTGGTTAGTTTATTTATTGAAAAAATAGATTTTTATTATTATCTAATTTTATCACTTTTATGGAATATTTTTGTTATTTTTTATTGGAAGAGTAGAACTATTCAATTATAAAATGCTGATAAACTAGAATGGAGTGTTGATTAAAGTTAATTAATATATTCTAATTAATGATAAAAATATATTTGAAATACTTTCTATAATTAGGCTTTTTTCTATATTCATTATTTTTATTTTTTATATTTATGAATTGTATATACATTTTTAAAAAATTTTAAAGGAAAAAATAATAAAAATTATTCAAATAAATTTATATGTATTAAAATAATATTTATATATTAGTCTAAAATAAATTAAGCATGTTGCTTTATTTTTTTAAAATAATAAATCTTCCGAAAAAATTTTAATTATATTCCATTTTTTATTATAATTAGACAAAAAAAAATTACAAAAAAAAATATTTAAATAAAATAAGAATTTTTATGATAATTAAAAAATAATTCGCATAAAGTTTATTCAAACTAATTAATCAGCAAAGCTTAAATATAAAATTAAAAAAAAATTAAAGAAGAAATAAATAAATAAATAAAAAAAACATTTAGAATAAATATTTATTATTATAATTAATAGCTTTCAAATATTATAATAATAATTAGTCTATTTTATTAATAATTAATATAAATCAAAATATAAATAAAATTTTGTTAAAAAATTTTGTTAAAAAATTAAATAATTTATTTATAATATATCAGGTATTTAATTTTTTTTTTTAAATATTGATATTTATTAATATATATATATATATGAATTATCATTAAACAAAAAAAAATTAAATTTTAAAAAATAAAATAATAAAATTAAATAAAGAAAAATAAGAAAAATATAAATAATATAAAATATAAATATTCATTAAATAAATAAAAATATATTAATATATAATAAATAATAAAAATTTAATAATTAAAATAATTATTAAAAAAGTCTATGTATTATATTTTTTTTAAATTATATATTATATAATTAACATTTTTTTTAAATATATAATTAAAATTAAAAAATATATTATAGATCGAAATTAAATATATACTAATTATATATTAGATATTAATTTATTATTTTTTATATATAATAAAATTTAATATTATAATTATTATATTAGAGAAATTTTCTGATAAATAATTGGTATATTTAAATATCTAATAATTATAAAATATTTAATATGTTTATATATTTATATATTAAATTATTATATATTTATATATATATATATTTATATATTTATATATTTATATATTTTATATATATTTGAAAAATTCAAATGCATTTCTTATATCTTTATTAGTTTTTATTTGTATGAAAATAAAAAAAATTATAATATAATTAACTTGAATTTCTCTTTTATATTTATTTAATTTGTTCATGATCATTTCATACAAAAATTTATTTCATAAAATTTTTGAATGGATATAATTTTTTTTTTGGATTATATAAAATTTAATTATCTATTGATATGGATGAATTAAATAATATTTTCTTAAATGTTTTTTTATTTTTTTGTATAAATATAAAAAAAATTAATATAATACAAAAGGCATTATTCATATTTCTCAACTTTTTTGTTTGTTTGTTAAGTATTAAAAAATAAAATTGCAGAAAAAAAATATTATAAACTATATCTAATACAAAAAAAAATAAGATTTTAATATCTCATTTATATACAAAATAATAACTTTTTAAATATTTTTTAAAAAACAAAATAATCAATTAAAAAATAAAATATAATATAATAAGAATATAAATATATTATATTTAATAAATAACATATTAATTATATTTTTTAAAAATATATTTTTAAAAAAATTGAAAGTAAATTTTAAATTTTAATGTCAAATGTAAAAATTTTCGAATTTTATTTTTATTGAATTATTTTATTTAAAAAACTTTAGTCTGCTAGTTAAAGCTATGATTCTTATAATATTAACGAAAAGTATTTATTTTTATTTTTTATTTATAAATAAATGTATATTTTCATTAGGGTTTTAGATGATAATATTATGAGCAAGTAAAATAAATTTAAAGGTTAAAATTAAATGAAAAAATATAAAAAGTCAAAAATATGCTAACTTTATAGAAAACGATTATATAGATTTCAAAAATATGAATGAAACAACTAAGGTTTTAACAAAATAAAACAAAAATAAACAAACAAAAAAATATGAAAAGATAAAAGATTAACTTCTATAATTAAATTAGAAAATATAAAATCAAGAAGAAAATAATAAGTAAAATCTATATATAGAAAATTATATTAACTGTAAAAAATATGAATAAAAAAGACAATAACTTATTCATATGGAAACAATAGGAATGATGACAAAATATTAGTTAGTGTTTATTAAATTGGAAACCTTATTAAATAGATTAACAAACATAATTGAAATAAAGTACTTTTTTTAAATAAAACAAGCATTAAATTAAATATAAAAAATTGATTAAAAAAAAGCAAAATAAATAACTTTATAAATATGAAAAAAATAAAAAAAAATTATATATATTAAAAATAAAATAGTTGAAGTTTTTAAAAAATATATCAATTATAGATAAAAAATAAACATAATAAGTTCATATAGACAAATAAAAATGCTTTATGACTCCAAAAAGCAAAATTCCCTTAATTAAACAAAGAATCTTTTTTACATAACTCAAAAGAAATTAACTAGAATGTGTGATATAATAAAAAAACCAATAAATGGAATTATCTAAGATGTCTTTATTTAAATAATGATGATTTCTAAAATAAATTATCACAAGTTAAAGCTTAAGCTAGAACACATGAAAATAAATAAAGAATTCTTAAATATAATATAATAAAAAGATGAAGAAATTCAAAAGTTAAATATTCAAAAAGAATAATTTTATTTGAATATAAATATTCTTAAATCAAAAGAAATTGAAAATTAGCATACTATTTAATTAAAAGACTAATCAATTTATAATTTGGAATAAGAAATTGAAAAAAAATAAACCAAATAAATTAGTTAATTAAATATATAGTAATCAGTTCGTATTTTAGACAAAAAAGTAATTTATATATTTTTTTAAATAAAAAAAATTATCTATATTATATTTTTAAAAAAATTAAAAGTAAAAAGATTTGGAAAATGAAAAAATTATCCTAAAAAATAAAATGTATACTGGGGAAAATAATGTTAACTTATTTTTAAAAGAAATAAATGAGTTACTAGATTAACATGAAATTAGCACAAACATTTGCTCTGATGATAAATTTTCATTAAATAACAGTAATAACTTATGTAATTTAATTAATCCTTTTGTTTAAAATTAAGAACATTAATAAGAAAATAATAGTAATAATTTAAATAAAAAATAAAAGAATACCAAATATAGCTAAATATATAGCTAAATCTTATGAAAAATCTTAAAGTTGGTATTTTAAGTTAAAACTCGAATTTTTAAAATAAATTTTGATTTTTAATTTATATATTATAGAAAATTTAAAAAATAATGCAATTTTTAAATTAAGTATTTTTTTTTAAATATATATATATATATATGATCTATTAATTTATTTTTTTAATTTTAGAATAAATATAATCAAAATTTATATTTATTTAAAAAATATAACCAATGCGTAATACTTTGTAAATTTTATTGAAATTTAATTAAATTTTTTTAGTAGCTTTATTAATTTTTTTTCAATTTTATTTAATTACTTTTATATGTAATTATAATTTAAAATTAAAAAATAAAATGTTTTCTAAAATATTAAAAAAATAAAAAATATTTATAAATTATAAATATATATGTTTATTTTTCTTTCTTTTTTTTATTTATAAATTCCTTTTTCAATTATGAACGCAACTTTCATATGTAGGAACCATATATTTAATATTAATAAAAGCATCCTATTTTTATAAAAAATATTTATATTTAAATATTATATAAAATTATAATACTTCTCCTCCAGTTTATTCAAATAATTCTAATGTTTCTTAAATAAGATCGCCTAAAGTTAATTTTTTTCTTTAACCATAATCAATAAAATCTCCAATATTCATATTTTTATTTTTATATAAATTGAAAATAGGTAGTATTTGTCTATAATATGGAACCTTTTAAAAATATAAATATATAAATAAAAATTACAAAAAAATAATATATATTACCAAAGCCTCACCAATCATATCTCCACTAACAACTAATTTTTAAAGAATTTTTAATAAAATTCCAATGATTTCCGGGTCTCTAGTATTTAATCCAGCTTTTTATTTTTTTTTAAAAAAGAAGATATATATAAAAAATATTAAATATTTTAAATTATACTTTTAATAGGAATAATCAATTAAGGGATAACAGGAAGAATTTTATTTGCACCTTTTTCAAGTAAATCATAAGTACCTAAAATAGCAAGAAATCTATAAGGATCCATTTTTTCTCTTAATCCATCAAAGAAAATAGGTAAATAATGATGATAATCTAATTATTCAGGTGATATTTTCCAAATTATTTTATTTACAGATCCTTAATGATCTACTTTAATAGGTAAATCTCCTCTATCATAATATCTTCTGAATTCAGACAAAGGAATTGATCTCTAAACAAATGCTCCGCACTAAGGTTATGGCGGAAAACAAAATTATTTATGAGGTAATAGGCTTGCTGTTTTTCCACCTGTACCTTATCTTAATCCTTAAAACTTATCTATTTTTTATTTTTATATTATATATATATATTTTTTATTTTTTAACTTATAACTGTAGCAGCTTAAGAATCTTCATGTATTGGAGTGTGTTTTTTTGGAGCGATTTTTTTGATTTGCATAAATTCCTTTGGATAATCCCCAAATGGAGAATGAGGATTTTTTGGTGCAAAATTGTTTTTCCATGGCTTATATACTGCATTAGCAGATTTAGCTAACATGCTCTTTAAGTGATCTTCTACAATTAATTAGGAAGCTATGTTATCTTTTTTAAGTAATGTTTGTTATGCGTTTGGTTGATTTACTTTTGGAAGCATTTTTTAATCTATTTTTTTTTTATTAATCTATTTTTTTTTTTTTTTTTGAAAAATTTATATTATGCTTTTTTTTTATTTATTATATATATAAATATATATATATATATATATATATATATATATATATATATATATATATATATATATATATAATATATATTTTTTTCATTATATAATTGAAATAAGTTATATAAAAAAGATAATTTTTTTACATTAGAAATTATGAGAGTTGATATTTTTTCATATATTTTTTTTAAATGCTATTTATATAATTAAGACTTATAATTAAATAATTTATAAATCTATTTGTATTATTGAATACTTTTAAAGGAATATGTATTTTATAAATGAAAAAATAATTATTATAAGAAAAATTTCATTAAATTTATAAATAAAAATAATTATAAAATATAAATATATTATTATATATAATTTTTAATGTAAAATTTAGAAATAAATTTTATTCTTAATTTTTGTTCTGAAACAGATTATATTTAATAAATTATTTAAAATCAAAAATATTTTTAAACACATAAAAATTTTATATATATATATATAAAAAAAAGATATATTAAAGTCTTCAATTTAATTGTAATAGTTTATTTTATAATTATGAGCTTATTTTTAATTCATATTCTAAATTTTTTTCTAAATTATTTTGATAATATAATAAGAATATTTATTTTAATTACTGATTTTTTAGTATTCACTTAAAAGCTCTTAATATTAATCTTTTAATATTTAACATTATGTTTATACAGATGAATTATCTAATTTTAATTTTTTTATATCTTACTCTATATAATTTTTTTAATTTAATAAAAATATATCTTATAAAATTTGTACCATATTAATCATGAGTATGATATTTTAAATTAGCTTTTTAATCAAAAGCAATTTTTTTCAAATTTTTTATTTCTTTTTATACTAAATATTCGGCAGAAAAATCATTTTTCAAATAATTTATTGGTTAATTTTTTTTATTTTCTTTTTAAGTTTATTAAATTCTTTATAAGTTTTATTAAATTTCATTTTACGAAATGAATTATGTTTAATCTATTTATATACTCGATTATTCGTTAATTGTTTAATTTTCTTATTATTTTTCTTTAGGTAAATTATTTATTCTTTAATATTTATAATTTAATTTGTTTATTTTTAATTTATTTTTACCTATTTATTTTTTAAGGACTTTTTATTGATATTTAACTACATTATTAATATGAATTTATATGCTTTTATTAAAATAATTCATTTTTTGTAAATGACTATTTAAGTTCATAAAATTCTTATGAATAACAATAAATCTTTATTTATATTATAAATTATTATTCATTAATTTATTTTATATTATATTTACACTTTTTAAATCTTCCTATAATTTTTAAAAATTTTTATTATAGAATTCATATTTTTAAATTGTTTCTTAAAAATCGTAATTATTTTACTTAATTTTTTTTTGGTGAATAAAGGTTATTTTTGAATAAAATTATATTTATTTTTAAATTATATACTGAATATGTTTCATTTTTATATAATTCTATTTCCTATGTTATCCTAGACAAAATTTATTCGATTTTTTCATTCAAATATAATCTTTCATTTAAATTGGATATTTTTTATTTTTATAAATTATTTTCTATAAAATGAACATTATTATTAATATTATTTTGTTTATTTTGATAACCATTACATATAATTTATTTTATTTATTTTAAAATAGGATAATTCTTAGTAAGAGATTACTACCATTATTCTAACTACTATAACAATGCTTGATTACTAAATGTATTTTTTTAAAGCATTTTTAATATTAATCAATTTTTTGTTATATAAAAGTATTTTTAAATAATAAGAAATTTTAAAATATATATTAAATTTTTGATAATAAAAAAAATTTTTATATTAAAAAAAAAAAAAAAAGTTCATGATTTTTATAAATTTATTTATTAATAATTATGTTATAAAAACAAAAATATGTTTATTTTTGTATTTCATATAATTATGTTCTTAAAATGAGTAAAACCTAATGTACAATACTTCTTCATAGGTTCAATAAAAGCATTTATATTTAATATATACTATTTTATTTTAATTAAAAATATATATATTTATAATATAAAAATATATCTATTTTACAGGATGATTTTCACAATATAAATCGAAAATTATCTATTTAATACAAGTAAGCCTATTAAATTTATTAAGTCCATAAACATTATCATCATTTTCATATTAATCAAACCAGCTTTCAACCTAAAAAATTAATTACTATTTATTAAAAAAAAAAAAAAAAAAAAAAAATTTAAACCTAATTAAATATATTTAATTCGATATATCCACTATTGCTATAAAAGTTAAGATTTTCTTTATAATTGTTTAATTCTTCAAGAGTAGGTATTTATGAATTTAAAAGAATAAAAATAATCATAATATCCTTTAAAATATTTTTAATTATATATATATATATATATATATATACAAATATAGTATATATTTATTTTTACTCTATAATCAATTTTATCATCATAAATAATTTATTTAAAATTCTATCTAATATTAGATACAACATTTTTATGATTATCTTAAATAATTTTAGGTATATTTTTAGATTTTCCTCTTCTTAGGAGCATACTTTCGAAATTTTTAAGACTAATAATACCTCTTTTATCAGAAAGAGAATAAATTTCTATATTGAAAAGAATTAAAGAATAAATAGTGAATTTATAATGTAGTATATTTTAACAAATTTCAATAGGTTAAATTAAAGCAGGAGTTTAATTGTAACAATTAAGAACCTTTTTTATATATATTTTAATTAATCATATATTCATTTATATATATTTTTAATTATATTTTTTTATTTTGTTTTTTAAATAACTTTAAATGTTTCAGAAATGTTTCTCGTTTAAATATTAAAAGTTTCAATAGGCTTTTATTCTAGTATATTATTTTTAAAAGCTTAAATTATTTCATATACTTAATCGTTTTCTTATTTAATTCCAAAAATAATCCAATCATCCATTCTATAATAAAGCGCGTTTTCTATAATTTTAACTTCTTTAATTCTGAGAATAAGTTAATATTTTAACATAAAGCCTCTAGATTTCGCTATATTTTTCTATAATTCACTTACATTTATATAAAATTCATTCAAATCTTAATAATTTGATATCTAACTAGATATCTATGGTTATTAATTATTGTTTTAATTTCCTGAAATAGTTTTCTTTTTAAAAAACTTCTAACGAATTTCTTCTATTAAATTTTCTATATTATCTATCTTATCAACATAGCATTAAAATAAATCTTCTATTCTAGGAAAGTTATTATCATCTTCATTATCTGTTAAATGTGAAGGCTTTTAACCTTAAATATGATCTATTATTATGACATGTTCTTATAGGTCATTTATTGGTCTTCCTTCTAATATATCTTATATATAAAGAATCATTTCTAAAATGTCTTAAAGCTATTTTATTTTTATTTTTTTTATTATTATTTTTTTATTTTTTACTAGGTTTAGTTCTATTTAAAATAATCTAAAATACATTTAATATATTTAATTGCATTCTTAATCAAACCATCCAGAAGAAATTATATTTTTTCTTTCTTCTACTGATTCGTTTTTTCTTTATTTTTATTTTTGTTATATTTTTTTTTAGTAGATATAATTTTTACTTTTATTCTATTTAATCCCATAAAGATTCATATAATTAATTTAAATGTTCATTAAGTTATTCTTTTGTATTTTAAAACCTTAACATTTCTTGATTTTCTTCTGTAAATCTATTAAAGTTATCTTAAAATTTATTAATTTTTAACTATAATTATTTTAATTAAAAAGTAAATTTTGGAAATATCTTTTTTTTTATAAAAAAAAAATACCTATTTATCATCAGGTTTTTAAACAATAGAAAGGAATTTTTATTAAACATCTTAAAATCTAACAGATAATAACTCTCTATGATTATCAATTTTGCCTAAACTTTATTTTATTTCTCTAGTGTAATTATTTTAGGCTTATAACCACATCTAAAAAACTATTTCTAAAAAAATAAGTAAATAAAAAAAAATAGAAAGTAATAAAATTACTTAAATTATCTAATTAAATACTATGGAAATATCCTTATTATTATTATTATTATTATTATTATTATTATTATTATTATTATTATTATTATTATTATTATTATTATTAATTATTATTATTCATTATCAATTTACTCTTAATTATTTTTATTTTTATCTTATTTTTTTTCAGAATTTTAATCTTAATTATTTTCAGAATTCTAATCTTATTAGCATTTTTCCAATTCTTATTATATTTTTTCATACTCTGTTTTCTGAATTTCCAATAATTATTAAATTTTTTCATCTACTTCTTATAAAACTTCATGTTTGTTATTTAATTTTATATCAACTAATGACCTAAATCCGTATTCTTATATCCCATAAGCTTCAAACCATTCTTTTAATTATTCTGTTTTTTCCTCATATTTTTCATTATATTCTTTTATCTATTAATTTTCCCAATCATTACATATTTAAAGTCTTTCCTATAGTCCTTTTACATCTAAAGGGGGTGGATTATCTATTAAATTATAAATTTCTCCTGAAACAGGATCAAGTCTTCTATTTGAAGATCTTCTAATACTTTCTTCATCATCAATATTTAGGTTTACAATTAAATTAAGACCTCCTTTAATAATTTTTTGTTCAACTTCTCTCACTGAAGGGTGTAATAATTATGCTATGTACTCTTTTAAGCTTTCTCCTTCTTAATTAAGTCTTTCAGATTCAATAATATATCCAGTTAGTTACTCTTCCAATAATTTTGCTTAATTAAGATTTTAAGGGAAATTTAATAAAGCATAACCTTGCGAAAATTCAAATGTTTTAGGCATTTATATGATTTTTTATATTATTTCTTCTGGAGTTGGAGTTATATTGTCTTCTTATTCAGATTTTTTTTAGTCTTTCCCTTTTTTAGAAGCTTTTTTTTTTAATTAATCTTCTAATTCCTTTTTTATTTAGGCTTGTCTATCATTTTCTTTAATTTTAGCTTATTCTATTAATTATAAAATTTCTTGTTTCTATAAAACTCGGAAAAGTTATTTAATTTTAATCACTGCTGCACAAGTTAATGTATAATCAGAATATTAAGAATTTTCTTTTTAAGCTTAAATACCTAATTCTTTTAATTCAGGATTTTGCTTTTTTTCTTCTTCGGGTTATCCACCTTTTTTTTATTCTTTTTTTTTTCCTTTTTTTTTATCGTTTTCATCTTCTGGAGGTGGAAATGCCTTTTATATAATATTTTTTTAATTTTTTTGTTTTTTGTTGTTGTTTTTTTTACGTATTTTATTGCCTCATCTATAACTTAGTATACATCTATTATTTCTATTTAATATTTCTATTTTATTAAATTAACAATTTGCTTTTTTCCACTAAACTTATTACCTATAATTGATATTCTTAAAGGCATATAATCTGGCAAATCTTCAGGTTTTGTTTTCATATCTAATTTAGGGTATATTTTATCCAAAAGTTAAACTAAGAAATCTCCTAATATATCATTATTAATAGGCTTTTAATTTTTTAATATTTTATTATATTCTTAAAAATATATTTGTTTTTTATTTTACTTAATTAAATATTTGATATTCTTGTTAATCAAAATAGTATAAAGGTTACCATATTTATAAATTATGATAATAATCAAAAAAAGCTTAATTTAAGAAATTCTCTTATTCTTATATGTTTACATTTAATTATTAATCTAAATCATTTTAGTTAAACATGGTAATATTTTATTCATTATTCATATTTTTCCCTTCTACAAATTTATGTAAATATTTTACCCAAAAAGACATTTCTACTTAAATAGAATCTATTATATTTTTTGTATTTTTATCAATGTATTTAAAAAACAAATAAAATATATTTATTTATATTTTTAACTGTTTTAAATTTAATTTTGATAGGATGCTTCAGTTAAATCAAGTATTTATTCTAAAATATTTTAACAAATATTATTATGTTTAAGTCTTTTTTATATTTTATCCTCTAAGTTTATTTACATATATTCTAATTACTAATTTTTATATTATTCCTTTCTTAATTTTTCAATTACTATTGTTTCATCTTTTTTCAATTCATCTTATTCTTATATAAATTACATTTTTTTCTCTTCTTCTTTTTTTTCATTTTCTATTCTATTTTGTATAATTTTTTCTTCTTTTAATTATTTTATATAATATTTATTTCCAATATATCTTTATTATATGCATTTTTCATTAAATTTTTATAACATTAATTCTTCATTTTTTTTTTATTCTATAATTTCTTCTTCTCTTTATTATTCTGCAATCATTTTATTTTTTCTTTTTTTTTATTTTTGTTTCAAAAAAAATTCAATTAATTAAATAAATAAAACCTTTTTTCTCTATCTTTTCTTGCTAATTAACTTTTTTAAGTTTTTTCTCTAAGTTTTATCATAGTTGCATTTATTGAAAAATGTTATTTTGGAGGAGGTTTAATATTATCAGGATCATGTTCTAATTAAACACCCTATATAATACAGTTTTCTTAGAAATAATCTAATCCAGTTTAAAATTCATTATTTTGGAAATTTTTTTCATCTAATATTTATTTTTTTATTCTGTTAGTTAAATATTCTTATAGTTCTTGTTCTTTATGTAATCTATTTTAATATTTTTATTAAGAAATACTCCATTATTATTATATATTTTTTGTTTAGTCTTATATATATTAATGTGCTTTTTTTATTTTATTTAATTCATATTCTCTCATTGAAGTATAAAATACTTTTTCTTATTTTGTTTCCATTTCTTTTTAAATTTTTGCTAATTATTCACTTTTTATTTTTTATTCTCGGAATTTTTCCAGTTAAGATTCTATAGCTAATATTTTCGCAGGCATTGTTGATGCAATACTTAAGTCGTGAAATCTTTTAGTATTTACTAATCTTAATATTTTATTAGAATTAGATTTACTATCTTAGTTTGTTTTTGTATATTGAATATAATGCTTTTATTTTGTATTTTTTGATTTATATTTTTTTGATTTATTTATTTACTTTATTTAATTCTTGTAATATTTCTAAATTATTTTAGTATTTAGCTGGTGTTTATATGTTAAATTTTTCCTTTAATATTTGCTATATTTATTAGTAATTTTTTTGTATAAAATTTTAATCTTTTCTTTTTATTTATTGATATATATGTAAATAAATATATATATTCATATACCGGTTTTCTAAATGATAAAGTACAGAAGGAACTCCCAATTTTTAAAATATATATCGGTAAACATAACCGTTTTTTAATTATTCATCATCAAATGAGTTTATTTTTTATGTTACTTTTATATCATTATTAAGCCATTATTTTAAATCAGTCATTTTTTTTTATTGATACTTTATATTTTTTTGAAACTTTTATTTATAAATATTTATACTTTTATTAAATAATTAACTTTTTATTAGTATATTTTTAATAAATAATTATTTATTATATTATATAGATTTTAAATATGTATAAATAAGGACAATATATATAAATATATGTAGGAAAAGTAAAAATTGATAATTTATAAATATATCTATCTAATTATATATTATCAAATGTATTTATTTTAATATTATAACTATAAATTACAATTTATACTATAAGATATTTTTGTTAATAAAGTGATTAAGTATTATTTTATTGAAGAGTTTTATCAATATTCTTATTTTAAAATTTATTAAAAAATCAATTTTTAATTTCAGGTTTTTTATTTAAATTTTAAGTATTTTTTTAATGTGAAAAACTATTTGATCTTTATACAATAATTTAATTATTAATAATAATAAAAGAATGTTATTTTTATGAACTGTTTTAATTATTAATTAAACTAAAAACTTATTTTTTTAGAGGAGATTTTTTTAATTTTAACAATTCATTAAAAACAGTTTGTTTTTTACTTAAATTTTAATTTAAGTAAAGCTTTATTATTATTATAAATAATTACTAAAGTTTTTAAAATACTATTTTGGATTTTTTTAATTATTAATTTTATAAAAATACATGTTTTATTTTATATCTTAATAATTTTTATATTTTAATTATTAATTTATAAACTATTAAAATTATTGTTACCCAATTATATTATCTTTTTTTTTAATTTCTATATCTTTACTTATATTTTATATTTCCTTAACTTATTTTTATATATGGCTTTCTATTAATAGTTTCTTTAGTTTTTGAGAACCTTTATTATAATCTTATGTATTTTGTTTTTTTTTATAAATATTTATTACTTTTAGGTTCTAAAAAATTATAAGTTTTTTATTCATTTTTAACTTAATCTTCTTTTGATAATTGAGTTGATTATTTGTGATATTTTTTTTCACTATTATGTTAATCATTTTCTTTAATTTTTATATTTTCATTTTTCAAAGGAGTATGTCTTTATTCGTTTTATGAATTATTTGATAATTTTCTTATATGATTTTGAGGAAACAATCTATAATAATCAATAGATAATTAATAATTTTATTATTATTATTTGGAATAATATTTTTAATTTTTTTAAGGATTCATGATTTATTCTTATTTTATTTCTTCTTTATTTAATTAGACAATATTATCATTAGATTTAAATTATGTAATTAAAAATTCTTTTTATTTATCTAATTATTTATTATTTAAAGAATTTTAATTTTTCCTTTGAATACATTTTGACAATAAATTTTAATAATAATAATTAGAATATTTTTTCATATAAAATTAAATATCATCTATTTGTTTATTAATCCAACCCTCTTTTAATTTAATTCTTTCCAAAATTGTTTATTTGGAACCTTAATCTTACATAATCCTATTCCAAAAATCAAATTCTTTAAACATTATTACTTCCCCTTATAATGAACTACATTATACTGAAAATTATCTTCTTGTTTTTTTTATTATTTCTTCTTCTCCAAATAATTCAAAAGGTTACCATATTGCAAGCTTTTTTTATATTTATTTTTATTTTTATATTTTTTACTTTAGAAGATTTTTAGTTTAATTATTAATTTTTTAATATTAATGTTTCATCTTCTTTTTTTTCTTCGATTTTTTCGATGATTTTCAAAAGTGTAAAATGACCATATAGAACTATATAAACTCCTTTTGGTTTATCTTCTTATTTATAAACATATTCATCTTTTTAGAATTTCATTTTGTGAGAATTTATATAAAGTAATTTCAGTTAATTATAATTCAAATATTAAAAAAAAGGTATTTAGGAAAAAAATTATATTTGTTTTAAAAGTTTTTCTTACTCAGTTTATTTTAATATATTTGTAAAATCTTTTTTGTCTAAAATTGCCATATTACATTCTTAATGACATATTATTGTAGCTAATCTTGGTTAGTTTTATAATAAAGCGAGTTCTCCGAAACTTTATCCATCATATAAACATTTAATGCATTGATTTTAATTTTCTGGACCTAATTTTATATATATTCCTACTTCTCCTTTTAAAATTATGTAAAATGTAGTTCCTGTTTACCCTTATTCAAAAACAATTGAGTTTTTTTCAAAAAATTAATATTTCATATATTAGCAACATTACCTGTGAACTTTTTATTTATTATATTTTTATTTTTTATTTATTTTAACTGTTTTATTAATTTTGTTATATGTATTATTTAAAAAATAGTATTTCTTTTGTTTATTATTGAAGAATTTATATTTCCTTATTTTTTCTTTATTTAAAATTTTTTTATAGTATTCTTATAGCTTTCTTTTTTTTATTTTTTTTAGGTTTTTTTGTTATATTAAAAAGTTGTTTTTTTTACTCACCTATAAAGATTAATCATTCATTTATTATATTTTATCAAATTTAATTTATTTTTTTTATTAAAAAAATGAAATATATTTTAATTTGTTAGTAAATTCTATTTTTATAATTATAAAATTACTTGTGTTTTATTTTTTTATATATTTTAAATGTTTTTTATTTTATTAATTTTTTAATATTAATTTTTTAACGATTTTTTTTAAATTCAATATAGTAATAAATTTCTAAGTAAAAGTATAATTTATTAAAAATATTATTAATATTAACAATTAAAATGTTTATATATTTATAATTAACTGATATTATAATGTTTTTTTAAAATTTTAAACTTATAATTATATTTTATTTGTATATTTTTATAAATTATAATTAGTATTTCTCAAATCATTAATTTTAAAATATTTAAATATTTTTTATTTTTATTATTCTTCTATAAATATATATTGTTTATTTTATTTATTTTCATTTTTTATAATAATTTTTTTTTATTTTATTTGATTGAGCGAATAATAATAAAAATACAAAAATTAGATTAAAATAATTATACAAAAATATATTAATAATTAATTAAATTTATATTTAGAACATTCTTAATTATAAGTTTTTTATTTTAATATTTTAATAAAATTTTAATTTATTATAAAAACTCATAAAAAATTATACTTAGAATTTAAAATATGATATTTAAATTATAATTAAAAAGTTATATAGCATATACTTAATAAAGTTATTTTATTAATAAATTAATATTATATAAATTTATATATTTTTTATAATTTATATTGTGTTATTAAAAAATGGCATATTTTAGTAATATATGTTAGAAAAAAAGAAATAAAAGAAATAATAAAGGATTATTTAAAAGGATATATTTATTTATCTATTTTGAAATATATATATATATTAAAAAAAAAAAAAGAATAAATAAAATAAGAAATATATTTTAAATTAAAATAAATTATAGAAAATATTTCAAAATTTTTTAATTTTTAATTTAATTTTTTATTTTAATTAATTTTATCTATTTTACTAGAAATACTAAAAAATAAGAATATGTTTATATTGACTAAATTTTATATTTTATAATCAAATAAACAAACTAATAGAATTATAAATAAAATTATAAAAAACGAAAAAATAAAATAATAGAATATAAAATTTATTATTTAATAATTAACAATTATAAAAAATATTAACATTAAATAGAGGAAAAAAATTTATTATTAATTTTCATAAATTTTATATTTTTATAAAAATATAATATATTTTAAAGTTAAAAAAAATAAATTGAAAAAATAATAGCAAAATAAAAATGTCTTAAATAGAAGAATATTTAGAAAAATTAAATACTCTACCTATTGATGTAAATAGATAATTACGTCTAATAAAAGAGTTGGATTCTAGAATGTAAATAGTAAGCGCTAAATTAGAAGAATTATAAGAAGATTTCCTTGTATAATTTAGACATACTAAAGATAAAAAAAAGTTAGAAGATAAAAAAAAAAATATAGAGAAATTATAAAGGGAAATATTTGGTTATTCAAAAGAAAAAATAGCGATAACAGAATAAATGTAACAATAAATAGATTCTTAAATGAACGAATTAGATAAAGAAATTAGAAAATTAGAAGATACATAAAAAATATAATAAATATAAATAATTTAATAAAATAATGAATTTATTGAACCATTATAAACTAATGTTAATAAAAAAAAAAAAAAAATAAGCAATAAATAATAAGATAAAAATAAATAAAATGCTAATTTATAACGTAATTTTTTAAAAAAATTAAAAATTAATTTGATTTTAAAAAAAACATTATAAAAATAATAATAATATATAAATATATAAATATATATATATATATATATAAATAATATATATATATTTATATATATATATAAATTTATCTATTTTTTCATATATTATAATATTCTAATTTTTTAAGTTAATGAAACTGCAACTGCAGAATGGCTTTATGATTAAAATGAATAAAAATATTGTTATTGTTAAAGACCACATTTTGGTTAAATGTAATAAATATAATTTTTTTTTTAATAAAAGTTATTTTTTTTTTTTTTATTTTTTAATTTTAATTTTTATATTATTTATTTTAGGATTGCTTGTGAATATGAAAATTGCTAAAAAGAATGGTTTCATTATGAATGT